GAATACTTTGCCTAGCCAGAGCCCATGCTGTTCTGTTCATGTCTTACAAAATCCCTTTATAAGTCATTTTGGGGGCCAATTTTCTGTTGGCTTATGCAGCAGAGTTACTTTGAACATATGTATACTCAGACTCCAGAAGGGTCGTTGTCCTCACTTTTTCTATTTTTTTTTTTTAAATTCTAATTTTTTTTGAGTGATAAATGGGGAAGCCCTTCTTATAAAATGCTTCTGTAATCCAACTAAACAATAGCCTGTACTGAGCATGCTCATTTAAAGCAAAAATCCAGGGAATGGATATAGCTGGTTTTCTCTGGTCACGTGTTCACACATAGGCTGAATGAAAAAATCCATAATGACTTTTTTAATTGTTTATCTGATATTTAATCTCTTTCTCCTGTTTATGAATGGTCTGCAAATAATTTGCTGATCTTTTTTTTTTTTTTTTTTTTTTTTTTTTTTTTTAAATAATTTCTGATCTGGCCTGCAGGTTATTTGAGAACACTTTGCTTTGGGTATTCACAATTAATAACTCCTGTTACTTCACTGATGTAAACACAGAACTAGAGTCTGACTTGAGCACTGCAAGTAATTTTTGTGTGAGTGGAAACTCAGATTTTTATTTTTGCAAATGTACTGCTACTTTTACTTTAATTTTTTTTTTTTTTTTTTGATGATCTAGCCACCTCTAGGTAGGAAATCTGATTTGTGTTTCCCTTCCACCTCTGAGTTTGAGTCCAACTTATTCTAGTTGTGGTAGAACCTTCCTGAAACCCCTTTCTGCTAGGGGAGGAAAGAAGATGCTCAGGGACTGCCCATAAAATGTTGTATATGAAAGACAATGAACAATGGAGCTAAAAATATCTCCCAACCTTATAACTATAGCAGTTGTTCTGGGTTGCTGCAAATATCAATTTATAGTGAAAAAGAAGGAAGACAAGTTGCAGTATTTAATTACTTGCAAATGTGATTAGCTGCTTGAAAGTGTAAGGACCATATCCTATCAAAATCCATAGCATAAAAAAAACCCTTGCTCTTAAATTTCTTCTCAAATTAGATCCCATTAATCACTGTAAAAGTTTCAAAACCACTTGGCTGAAGAACTGGGATAACAGGAGGTTTTCAGGAGGTCATGCTCTCTGATTGGCATCCTTGACCCTCTGCTGTCTCAGTTTCTGCTCTGGCTTTGGTCTGGCTGTGTTAACCTGGCTGTCTCCAGGCTGGGCTGTGGATAGCAGTGTGAAATCCTCCCTGGGCTCTTGCTCCTGGGGACTGGGCTGCTCAGGACAGCACAGAAGGGAGAGAAATAGCACCAGAGGCTCAGCCCTGCCTTAAGAGTTCAGCTTCAAAGAAAGGCAGGGCTGCAGTGGGGTGGTTGTGAACCAGCAGAGATTATAACTGCACCTTTGGAGGGCAGGCTGACATTTAAAGGCTTGAGGCCTGCTGTAGAGCAAAGAAATGTCAATCTTTAAAAGAGAGGACTGGGCTGGTTAGTAGGAAGGAATGTCAAAAGAGAGTTTATAGGAATCTCTTAAAGCTGAAGCAAATGTATTTCATTCCTTTGTTACGAGCACGTTTCTTCCTGATTTACCTGTGGATGGATGTCAGGAGAGCTAGAGCTGGTTAACAGATGCTTGAAAGGACATGGGGAAGCACAGAAATTGGGGAACTGGTTAACATTTGACTGAGGGCACACAACGTGTAAGCCAGCCTTATATTGCAACTAAATCATCCCCTCTGATGTGCTGGGAGCTGGATCTACACACTCCTTCTTGTGGCTCACAGAACCATGGAGTGGTTATTCACACCTAACCCTTTCTAGGATTACCCATTACTCTTATTAACAACAGCGAGCACTACCAAGGAGAAAGAAAAAAAAAATAATATTCTTTCCATGAAAAGGTAAAAATATAATAGTGAATTAAAGTTCTAAATGATAGGACTGTTAACATAATGCCTTTTGTCTAGAATGAACTATAAAACACACATATATACAATGGAGAAAACCCTGTAAATGTGTAATGGACAAAAAAATATATATATAATAAAACTGTTGAAAGAATGCATTTTCTCAGCACCAAGGCTATCCATAAAATTTTTACAGTTTTCCACTATATAACATTATCCTTCATAAAAAATGATATTTTAAAGCAAAAAGGTTGGCAAAAGAAACAATTGGTAGTTAACGGAAGGACGGGATTACAGCACTGTGCCTTTGCTGTGAACGGTGGAATAGAAAATGAAAAACATTTGGGGCATTATATGAAGCCCAGCAGTCATGCTCCATATGGTTTGAAGAGTTGAGCAATGCTTGACAAAGATTTTATGGCTTCATTTTCTTAACACTATTCCTTCAGTCTAGTCCTCCTACCCCATTCCTTGTCTTAAATTTCTCCTGTTTTTCGGACAAAGAAATCTGTTTTATTAGTATCTATCATTTATATTGAGTTTAATCACATCTGATTTAATACACTGTTTTAACCAGCAAGGCCTTTCTGAGGAATGCCCTGCAACAAGGTATTAGGGCAAAATTGAGATAATTTGGTCCACAGACCCTCTAATACAGTTTCCCATGTGACTTGGATTTAGGATAAATAGCCAGAGTCCTCTGGATAAGAGCACAGGTCAATATTTATGGATAATTGGCTTTGGAGCAAAGAACTTTCTGCCTCCCAAACTTGTGCTCAGACAGATTGGGTTAAAGTTTTATATCTCTTAGACCACATCATGAATTTCAAAACCAAATTCTGCTCCCCTCAGTCATAAACTACATACAAAAATTAGCTAGTCATTCTTCAGTCTACAATCTACTTCCATGTGTGCTGCCAGCAGTGGAAGTCCACAGACTTCCTCAGAAAATGCCTATGGATTATCCTTATTTTGATTTGACATTTAAATCGTTAGGCACAGCTGGGGATTGGGCCAAGCTGTGCATTTGTAATCATAAAATGAGAATTCCTGCTGCAGAATGCACACCGTAAAAAGAAAGGATATTTGTGTCTCCCCTTCAAAAATACTTAGGAGGATCATGGAGGTCTCAACATTGGCACACAATCTCCTATATAAGAGACAAACATCATGTTTGCTACTGTTACAGGTGACTTAAACTGAAAAATTCAAACCCAGAACCAAACTTTTGGAAAGTCTGAGCATTTGGATCTGCAGTCTTAGCTTGGATGAATCTCTAAAAAAGGGATTACTGTTGCCATTTATTACATCAATTCACGTACTGTGCTACACAAAATAGATCTTTCCTGAAACATCACTTTTCATTTCATTTATTTTACTTCACAGTGAAAGGCAGAGCTCCTCTAACCCTTCTCCTGCCGTAGCTGAGTGTGTGCCCTCACATGTGGATCTCACATGCCGTGGTATTTCAGATGGCATGTTGTGAATTAGGTGGATAGAGTATCACTGGTGGTGTGTTTTATCCCATGGACTCAGCCCACTGGAGAGCACTCAGCTGGTTAATATTTCATATGGATTCTTTTCTCTTTCCAACCATCTATGTAAACTTTAAGACAGCCAGTCTGGTTTTAGGAGGTGATTTCCTTGCTGTGGATTAAGGATCCATTTGTGAGTCACTCTTCAGGCACTTCAGAAGAGTAGATTTCAGACCTGAAAGAATGTATTGTAAACAGAATAATGTGCTTTCAAAATTAGCTCCTGTACCAAATTATGTATTTACTTAATACACCTTAATGGCTTTTGAAGAAGCCATTAGGCTCGATTGCGTAAATAGTATATATACCAAAATATGTATTTAACCTAGATAGGGCAGTGCCCCATTGTTGGTTTTCCTTCCTTCTTTACAAAGTTTTATCTTCATGGCCTTTTGAAAGTCTACTATGGCTGAAGAATTTATCCTCCAGGAGATTGTTTTGGATGGTGACAGCTGAGGGGGCAGGGAGGAGAGGTGGCTCCTGAGTTTTAATGTGTAGGAAGGAGGAATAGCATTCAGGAGGGCTACAGGGCCCTTCAGACTTTGGAGTGGGGAAAGGAGAAATTCAAATATTATTGAGCAAACCAATTCTCTCAGAGGGCAGAATCCTACAGGGCTCTGTGGCCTGATCCTAAGTCTGGGGATAGGAGTGGGTTCATGCATCAGTCAGCTTTGTTTGTGCACTGGGCTGGATGTGAACAAGCCCATGAAAAAGATGAAAAGAAAAGAAAGAGCCTCCTCTCTGCTCCCACCGCTGAGGTGCTGGACCTGCCCATGCTGGAGGCACTCTGCCAGGGTGGGACTCTCATGGGAATTTTTGGGAAGCTCCTTGGGGACCCCTTAGGGTCAGCCTGGTATTTCAAACAGGCCTTATATACTGAGAATTCACACAAAAACCTAAATTTTTCTATTTGGTTCTCGATGTGTGTATAAATATAGAGAGGTAGGATAATGATCCTTGACAGTGGCTTTTTAAGGGTAACTTACTGCAAAAGAATTCATTGTAGGAATATTAAATATGAGAGGGGCACTACACCAGTTGGGACTGGTGGAAAATAAGTGGGAAATAAGTACAGAGGAGCTGAACCCGCTGTGTTTTGCTGTGTAACTGCTACCTCCTGTAACTGGCACAGCAAGTAAACCATATATCTGCTAATGCTGCAGGTGTACTCTCAGCTAGCTCATAATGGAAAAAATATCTGTAAATAACTGCTCAGTTACAGCAAATGCCAAAAATTACAGTCCATGCTACCCACAGGTGATTCCACCAATGCCAGCCAGGCTCATCAGCTTGGAAATAATAACAAATGTGAAAACTCCAGAAAAACATGTTATCTTGCTCAGAAAATGCGATGAGAATGAGCAGTTAAGTGCTAAAAATAGAAGTGTTGTATGAGGCCCTGTAACTTTGGCACAGTCACAAGGTGCAGAGGCAGAGAGGGTGTGGAAGGCACTGCCAGCACTGGGCAAGAAGGAAATGGATGATGTACACACAGGGGTAGCCAGGATAAGGGGAGGAGAAAAGTTTCTCAAGTTTTAATGGAATTTACTATAGACTTACGTGTTTTTGTGGACTCTGGAAAGTTCCTGTCTATATTAATCAGTCTATTAAACAAACACTTCTGCAAACAATCTGTGCAAACTCCTCAAGCTGGTTCACCTGGGTCAACCTGCAGGATGGAACGGGACAAGAAGAATTATTGGTCTTCTTAAGAAATTAGTTAGCTGTAAGTACAGTCAACATCATGAAAATGAAAATTAATTCAGCCTGAATCTCTGATAGGAGTTGTTCTGCTGCTGAAATCTGTTTTTAACAATCCCCTTGCCTATGTGACTACAGACAGGTATCCGTGGGTAAAATAGATTCTGGATGCACTTAAAATTGACCTGACTTGATTTCTAAAAGGAACCAAATTAATCCAAATTAAAATTAGGAAAATAATAATATTAATATTAATAATAATATTAATATTAATAATAATAACAACAACAACAATAACAACAACAACAATAATAATAATAATAATAATAATAATAATAATAATAGTGCTGCAACTAGAGTACTGCTAGTAGTCCTCTTAATGATGCAGTTTCCCATCACTAACTTGAATCTGAGTATGACCATAGAACAACACTAGAAATAATTTTGTGCAAATATATTCAAGCAATGTTATCAACTGTAGGCCAAAAATGCACTTGGAGCTGTATTGTTCTTTTTCATTGACTTTTTGTTGACCACAGGAAAAACAGGTTTTAAAGTACAACACAGTAACACAATCGAAAGGAGTGAAAAACTTGCAGAGCCAGTTTGAGTTGTAAGGGTGTGCTAACTTGTGACCCAGACAGGATGGTGGTTTTAAAATAAAATCGAAACAAAGAAGTTCTGTTGTGTTTTATCCACATCCCCTGCAGGAAATCATACTCCATCCCCTCCACTCTTGTCCCACACACCTCCTTCCCATCTCTCTCATTTACTGCTTTCTCATACCCAAAAGCTTGTACTTGCTTTCCTGATCATCTCATCCCATCTGAAATACCTCAGATGTCTGTCTTTTCCTGTTTTATTTATTCTTACTCTGTTTAATAAAACTTCATTTTTTTTCCTGCTTAATGATTGACTTTAGCAAATATTTAGGATTTTTTTTTTGTGCCAAATTACATTTTTTTCCTTAGGGAAAGGATGAAAAACTGCCCTAGAGAGACTGATTTTACACATTTAAAATGTTTTCTGATTTATATGATCATCATCATGATAGATTTTTAGATATATATCTTGATGATATAAGGTTTCTAAATAAGTTATTGAAATGTTTTTTTGCAATTGAAGTTAAAAATATTTCCTGAAGTTATTTGCAAAGTTTGAACAGAACAAAAAATATTGTTATGCCCCTTTTGTCCCTTGTGAAATAGTATTTTTATTTTCAGTGTTGGGAGAAAGAAAAGAAAACCGAGCCTCTTCATGGTTTAGATGAGAGACCATCTGTAGGGTAGAATTTGGTACTTCATAAAATTTCCGTCATAAAGACACATTTATCTTTATTAATCTGTAGCTGCTCCCTTAAAACCAGGCCCTTTGCATATCTTTTTTTTTTTTTCCTCAGGTACTGGGAAATTGTTCATTCCTGGTGTTCCATCAGGCATGTCAAAGACAAATATTTCTATGTGCATCTGTATTTGGGCCACCCATCCTGAATATGTAGCTCAGCTTTTCATGCCAAAAGTCCCCTGCACTAAATTTCATGCTGCATTTTCTGTGGGTTAGTTACTTAAAGGTGCTATTTTTTTGTTGTTTTTATTAAAAAGCTCAAACTGAATTTTATTCTAAATCAAAAGCATTCGTTTAAAGAACGTGTGAGCTACTCTAAGTTCATCATGTGGGCGAAGTCCTGTTTTATCTTCACTAAATGGTTGTGGTTTCAATAGTAAGAAATTTGCCACCAGAGCTTCTAGCTGCTTATTGATTGCTGGCTTGACATATATTTGTATATTTACAGATTTCTACAACTTCTGCTCAGATAAATGTTTAGATACACCACCAAAGACCAGTTTTCCTACGTGTCTGAAGGTATTAGATGGCTTCCAATTCTATACAAGTGGATATGCACAATTTAAGAAAAAAACTGGGTACTGTTTGAAATTATTGTTCCTCAAAAATTCATAAAGATGTTGTGAAATTCTTAGACTGTATAACTTTAATTGAAAGTATTTATCCAGCTCTGATTTCAACAGATGTCTGAACAACAGGGGAAAAATAACCCCCACCCTGTAACAAAACATCATCTGCTTCCAGATTTCCCATGCTGAAGTTTTTATGGTGGTCAATGGTAAAACACATGTACTTTTCTCTTCTGCTTTTATAAAAGCTACTTTCTTTTAAAAAAAGGATTCTTTACCCCTCATGCAGAGATGCCCTCTGTGTATTGACTGATTTTCTCTTGAAGGTTGAAGACTTTTTTTCACATTGTGGACACCTGTTTTTGAACCCCCATGTTTAAGGGAACTGGGGGAAAAAAATACAGTGAAACATTTGGATCCATCTGGTTAGATGTGGGAATGTTATGATCATCTGAACATCTGGGTAAGATGGTAACTACCACCAAACAGTTTGGCAAATAGTAGATTTTTCCCTGCTCAAGCCTTCTATGGATGGATCAGAGGGATTTTTTGCCTAATGATGTGCTTGGCCATACTTCTTTCTGCCCCCAGTTTTCTTCACCACTAGCGGGGATATTCCTCTCCTCCAGAGCCAGAAACAGCTCTGCTGCTCTCCCTGCTCCCTGTGCTCTCCTCAAATAGTGTTTTCCCACAGGGCATGCACAAATCCTGTTGTTTTACATCATATTGTCATTGCAGCCACAGGCATGTGTCTGCACTTGTCCCCGAGCAAGAGAGGGAAGCGTGTTTCCTCGTGCCTTTGCTTGCAGTGCGTGTGACCCGCTCTGCTCTCTCCAGGACACATCCTGCCTGCTGGGACTCCAACCAGGGCTGCTTCCACCTCAGCAGCTCCCAGGAGGGGAGAGGAGATGGGAGTGTGCAAGTGGGGAGCTGAGCTGTCCTGGGGGAGTTCAGGAGGTGCAGTGTGGTTGCCTCTGCGTCCACATTGAAGCTGTTTTGGGGCAGAGCATGAAAACATTCCCTGAGCAGCAGGACTGGGCTGGGTCTGTGGCCACTGGTGTTGGAAATGCCATGTATTTATTAGGATTATAACAAAAATATTGCCTTAGGCTCCATTTCCTATTCAAAACTCGTTTAACAGAGCACTGAGAGCAGCCCATGGCAAGAGGAAGGTCAGTGTGTTGTACCCCAGGTCTGCTGGGCAGTGGCTGGAATCCTCCTCAGTGCCACTGTGTCATTTGATGCTCCCCACGCCAGTATCCAGCCCATGAGCACACACTGAAATTCCTGAGCATGTGAGTAAAGTTAAGTACTTAAATGCTTTGCTGAATAGGAATTGACTGAACATGTGCTTAAGTATCCTGCTGAATTGCAGCATTAATCATTTTTACAGCTGACAAAATCACTGCCCCAGAAAAATATTCTCCAATTAGAATGAGCGGGATTATTTCTTTCATTTGTGTGAAATAAGTGTGTTCCCAGTTGTACTGAACGTGTTCTGTTTTCTGTGATATTAGAAATCATTTTCCATAAGATTTCATATTGCTCAAGAGAAAACTTGAGAAACTTTGGAGTTGATCAGGTCCCTAGATTTGGATTTATATTAAGAAAACATTGTAAGAAAGGACATAATGGGCCAAAAATACACACTTACTTTTTTTCATTGACTTCACCTAAGGGCAATACTTGGGCCACTGTGCTTGTTCATTAATTCCCTCTTGTGGAAGCTACTTTTTCCATATGTGATTTTAATCTGTTTATAGATACTGAATATAGTTTTTCATATGGTAGGTCTCTCCTTTTTTCCCTTATTTCCTTCACAGTCTTTCCATAATAGAGTTTAAAGCAAGAAAAAAAACAACAACAAAACAAACCCAAATCAACAAACCAAATCCCTTTGTATGTGCAGCCAGTTAAGTAGATAATAATGGTAATTTTTCTGCTCTGCTAATGATGATAATATTGATATTTATCAATAACAAATAGCATGCAAGTGCCTGGGTGAATAGAGTATTTTGCACAGTGGGGTTTTATATCTATATATGAAACATAGAGTGGCAGAGGCTGCTAGAGGCAGGTGAGGGAAGCTGAGCAGAGAATTGCCTCACAGCAGAGAGCCTGAGAAACAGCAGAGGGGGAATTTAGTCCTAGCCAAGAGCAGAAGTAATCCCTGCAGTAAAAAAGCTGCAGAATCTGTAATCTCAATATCCAGCCCAACAAAGACCATGGACCTTGGGGCTCAGCTAAGTGAGCTCTCACTGGAAATGTCCTGGGGCTCATGTGGGGTAATTTGGAAGTGGGAAGGTCCAAGGAAAACCTGCTGGTTGGCAGAGCTAAACCCACGCAGCCTGGATATTTCCTACCTGCTCCTGAGATTGCTGTGCAGCCCCTTTGGTGCTTAGTCTGTTTTATTTCATTAAGTCTGCAAAGGGGACTTTGAGAGGCGTTATCTTCAGGAGATAAATTTACAGCTGCTTTGCTTCCTATATTATGTTTACATTTTGAACCTGTGAGTCTGAATATTACCTGTTGGTACAGCTGACTCTGTAATTATTGATTTTGAGGCTTATGATTGTTCTCTAGACAAGGGGAAGGGGGAGAGGGATGGATAGTCACACAACAACCAGCTATTCCAAGACCTTTGAAGGTCACTTGAACAAAATCACACAGCCCAAATAATCTGCTGGAGCAAAAATCCTGCACCTTCTCGTTTACTGGGGCCAATTTAGGATGCAACATTTGAGTTGGAGTGAATGACTCGAGGTGTAGCTAGAAATGTTTGTAACGTGTGTCATGTTCATTTTCAGAGGCCCTGGCTGGAAGAGGAACCTGTTTGTAGAGTGACTGAATGTATTGGGTGCTAAATCTTGGAATGGAGAGAGCCTAGCTGCCTGCTCCTGGAATTGCCCATGGTTCTCACTCAGAGCATGGCCCCAAAACAGCTCTGAACACAGGCAAGCTCAGGATTGTCCCTCCCTGGATGCCACATACATCCAGCTCCCCTGCTCTGCTCACAGGACCACAGTCTGCTATGCTCATAGTCACTACCAGCTCC